AAAGCATGTTTGACCTCGGACTGGGGGCCTCCTCTTCTGTTTGACCGGCTGGAATCTCGGGAATCTCGGGTCCAGTTTAGCTTGTGAGTGGTTATCTCCGGTGGGATCCCTGTCATATCATGATGGGACCAAGCGAAACAATCTTCATTAGTTATAAGAAATTGAATGAGTTTTTTCCTGATCTCGGAGCTTAACCCCGTGCCCAGGTATACCTTTCGATCGGGCAAGTGCTCTCTCAATATGACTAGTTTCAGCTCCTCGACAATCGATTTAGTGGCGTCGGAATCATCGGGGGCTATAAAAGATGTGGGAACCTCGTATTCATCATCCTCGCCTTCCCCTCATTATCCTTCGATGTTGAGATTGTAGATGCCAGTATTACCTCCTCGATCGCGAACATTTCCTTAGAGGCCGGTTGTTCACCATAGACTGTTTTGACTCCGCTAGGTATTGGGAATTTCAGTGCCCGGTACAGTATCGAGGGCACTGCCCTTATGTTGTAGATCCATGGACTTCCGAATAAAACGTTGTACCTCATAAAATTTAGTTTCCTGGATGGTCTCGATGGTGTTTACTGGTAACATTATCTCGTCCTCAGTGGTTTCACACGCTATGTTGAACCCATTTATAACTTGGACTGCAGGCACGATTTGGTCTTGTAGACTGAGTTGCACCATGACCCTTGATCAGATGATATTGGCGGAGCTACCCGGGCTAATTAACACACGTTTAACTAGGTATTTATTTATGAGTACAGCTATTACCAGTGCATCATTATGGGGCTGCACGATTCCTTCCACGTCCTCGTCATTGAAAGACAAGGTTCCTTCCGGTATGTAATCTCGAGTCCGTTTCTCCCTAGTGATGGATACTTTGGTGCGTTTCAACATCGACCCCTCTGATTTGAGGCAGTTCGGTGTCGCCTCGCATGCGGGCCACCGGTTCAGAAGCTTCTTCTTCTTCTTCTTTGGAATCTTCCCTCAACCGATGGAGTGAGTTCGATGGGAGCTCTCGGGCGCTGGTGCTTTTTTTGGATTTGCGCATCAGCCACCAGCCTTCGAGTCCTTTTTCTCTTCTTCTCCTCACCCTGTCTCGGATCAGGGGACTCGGCGAGGCAATCCTCGTCACCGGATGGAGGCCTCATTGCGACATCCTTGGGAAAACCTGCAAAGAAAAAACAAATGAGTAAGGGCACAACAACACGGAAGAAACCTAAGTGTTGTGCACTCAAGAAAGGAATCTCACCGTGAGAACGAGCCTTCTACCGGGCCTTCAAAAACTCGTTCCATGAGTGTTCGGAATACGATTTCTGCGACATAATTCCCTCGACCCACTCCTTGAGTCGAGGGATTGCATCTGGGACCCGGGGAACAACTGCATCGCCACCAAACACCGATAAGAAGTAAGGAAATGAGACTAAAAAATAAAATTTTGGGAAAAATGAAATTTTACTTACGTTTTGTGTTCCACTTATCGGGGAACGACATGTACTCGGCTGGGACAAATCGACCTAGCCAACCTCGATCCCGATCTTCATCGATGCTCGAGAACGGGGCTTTACTGGCCCGCTGCGCAAATTTAATCAGCCCCCGAAAGAATCAGGGATTATATATGCACATAATATGGTCAACGGTGAATGAGCATCCATCAATCTTGCTCACGAAAAACCGAAGAAGAATGACGATCCTCCAGAACGAGGGGTGGATCTTATTGAGGCACACCATATACCTTTTGCAGAACTGGATGATTACCGGGTCCAATGGGCCCGGCGTAAAGGAATAAGTCTAAACACTTAAGTATCCCTCGACGTGGGTAGTGATATCTTCATCGGGCCCTGGAACCACCACGTCTTTTCCAACCCAATTGCAATCCTTTTTAACCATAGGAAGAATTTCTTGTGTGATCGAGCAGATGTACCTCGAGGCCCTCTCGCACCAGCCGAGTATGGGTGAAGGTTTCTCAATCTTAAAATCGACAGTCACCGAACACCCTCCATGAATGAACGTGCTAAGAGGAGGTTCCGCCGCTGGTTCCTCACCGGCCGGTCGCGATGTAGAATTAGCTTCTTTTTGGGGAACTGTTTTTAAAGTTTTCGCCATTTTCTTTTTAAAAGAAGGGAAAGATATGAAAAGGAGGAAGTTGAAGAGATACACTTAATGGTGTGGAATGAAGACAAATGGAAATTCTTACAAAGATCTCAAGAAATCAGGATACAAATGCTAGAAAATGTAGAGATTTCCAATGAACAAGAGTAGAAAAGATTTGGATGTAAAGTTTGAATGAATGAAGAAGGGAGTATTTACCATTTTCAAATGACGATTCAAAGCCAGGAGTGGCCGACCAGCAACTGGCGAGTATTTAATGCCATTATGACGTGATTGACGAGACGTTACGCGTAGTACCGAAGTGAGAATCGGAAGCTCATATCGTTTCTCGTCGTTTACTCTCCGAAAAACGAGGAGACTATCGCGAGGGGTTGAAGATCGACCTCGAGTTTCATCAAACTAGAACACGAAGTCAGAATGTCTGTCCTCTAGAACATGGAGTCCACGATCCTGGAATCGACCATGACCCCGAATAAGCTCGAGGAAACATATCAAGTATAACCAACAGAAGACCGAAATAACGGAAGGCCGAAATATCCGTAATTGGTCGAATATCACGGCGGGAATCTCGGCACGTATCAATAAGGAACCAACAAATCAGCAAATCAAGAGATTTTTACCTTTTATAGAATTGTATCTAAAGTAGGACTTCCCAACTATATAAAGGGGGTCTGATTACTTGTGAAACAGACTGTAACACGCTTCCCAAAGCAATATATTGTTATATTTAGCTCTTATCATTCTGTTGTCATTCTGTTATGATATCAATAAAAGCATTTTTTGCTCGAGGGCGGCTAACCTTCTAAGGATGAGATTGTTCAACTTGAGTGGTTTGCATTTGCTTTCCCATTGTTTACTTCAATTTCAATCTCGTTTATCATTTGTATCAAGTTAGATCACGTATGCTTAAAATCGCGTACAAATTTAATTGTTATCTGATTTTGAGGGTAAACACTAATATTATTTTTCCAAAAGTTGAAAACCTTGGTGAGTGGTTTAGTTGAATATTATTACAAATGGAGGTGTAGGTTCGATTCTACGTAGCATTAAATTTTTAACAAAAATGTTCTCTTTAAGATGCTCAAAAAATAAAATATTTAGGTTTAGTAGCTAACCTATAACCTTTACAAATCAAAATATAAGTTTGACCTATGGACCAAAAGTATTATTTGCCAAAAAGTGATGTCATAATTATATATTGCTTTATTTTTACAGAATATTAGTATAAATATTTAATAGCTTCCACCCATGTGCACATTCGCCCCGGGTAAAAACTATCGTATAAATTGGAATGAAAAAATTGTAGATAGCCAATATGGATCGTTATTAGGCATAATTGAAGTTATTAGGCATAATCGAAGCTCATAAATTTTTAAGTTTAGTTACTTCAAAATTACTTTTAAAATCACAAATTTGAAATTTCAAAATCTGAAGCTGGCCCTGCAGTCCTCACACGTATATTGAAGTTTGAACTACCAATTTTTAAAGTTTTAGACAAATATGTTGAAACTAGAGAAATTTATATATCCAGTAAATATATATAAAGGGCAAAAAAGGCAAAAGAAAAAGGCAAAAGAGGAAGAGAAAGTTAACGGCAAGATAAAAAGGCAAAACAGCGTAAATAAGCAGAGAATGAGGGATAGTTTGGTGGGTGTAAAACAACAGGCAAGTGCAACACCGCTTTCCTTAGATGAAACAACACGTGTTTGACATGCGCCTTCCTTTTTTATTACTTGTTTTGTTTAATCAATTTAATTTTGAATTCCTGTTCAAAAAAAGTTTGCCTCTGAAACAAAACAAACAAATAAATAAAATAGAGAAAAGTTTAAAAAAGAGAAAATAGAAGAAGTAAGTGGGGATTTTTTGTTTTTCTCAATTGGTGTCTGGTATTTATATTACAACAACAACATTAATAAATTCATTGTAATCTCACGAATGAAAAAAGGAATGCAATTAGTGACAGAGTCATATAACTCTAAGTTAACACCTCTTCACCGAAATATTATATTGTTTAGACAACTAAAAATTACTTTTTATTTATGTATATTATATATTAAATTTCTAGACTTCTTTTTATTTTTACTTCTTTAAATTTTTACACTTTTAAGTAAAAATTCTAATTTCGCTACTCATGCAACAAGATGAGTTCCTAAGGGTCACCCATTATAGTACTATCCTTGCCCAAACACACTTAACTTTCTGAGTTGTTATTGATGTTGATATATTGATGTTGGATGTTGAGAATAAAATATTTCTCAATAGAGATAGACTTCATACTAAAAACTTAACCAAAAGCTGTTATATGCTATAAATATATTATATTATGAATGTTCATTTAGTACTCCGTTGTAAATAAGCTTCCTAAAAAAATTTATTTATATGAAACTCCGCCGTAAATATGTTTATCAATTTAATACTCTATTAGAAATAAACCTCGTGAAGAAGATTATCCTGGATAAATATTATCCCGATAGAAGATTATCTATATTTGATACAATAAGCTTATTCTTTTAGTACTCCGTCATAAATAAATATTATCTCTCATAGAAGATTATTTATATTTTTTACAATAGCAGCTTACACGACAACTTCCTTTCTTCAATAAATAGAGGAAATTTCAGTTCATTATGTATATCAATTTGAAATTAAATAATATATTAGTTTCTATCTATATTTGTCTTTATTTTATTATTTTTATTTTATAACGTAATAAAAATATAAGAATAAAGATGAAAAAATAATTAAAAATAAAAAAAATCTAAAACTTTGTTGGTAGCAACTAGCAAGTGGAGAATAATTAACCTTTGGAAAGAGCAAAGAGCACGCCTTTAAATAAATACTAAAGTAATAATCCTAATTAAATATAGCTCAACACCTCCATATATTCCTCGTGCTTAACCCATCAACTACCCGACCCTACCACGTCTTGTTCCGTGTTTGATTTAAACAGTCATATATATACATGTGCTGTTACCCATATATTTCATTCAACTTTACTTAGAAGAAAGAAAAAGAAGAAGAAGAAGAAGAATCTTTAGTCTTTTCCTAAAAGAAGAGAAGTATTTTACAAATGGCATCATCGGAGATGGTGGATTCCGGTAGATTCGCCGCCGCCGTCGGTCAGAAATCACATTTCTCTCAGACATGTAATTTGTTGAGCCAATACTTGAAAGAGAAGAAAGGTTCCTTTGGAGATCTCAGCCTTGGTATTCACCGCGCTGGTAAGTTTTTTTGTATAATTTTGCCTTTTGGTTATAGATATTTTTGGAGTTATTTGAATGGTACTAACAAATCTACTTTTTCAACAGGCACTACTACTATGGATTTGTTGCCAATGATTGAGAAATCTGGTGAGTCAAACCCTCAGAAATCAATGTATCTGTTTCCTCAAACTGAAGCAAAATCTGAACCGGAGAAAGCGCAGATGACGATATTCTACGGCGGTCAAGTTATTGTGTTTAATGATTTTCCGGCAGATAAAGCTAAGGAAATCATGCTTATGGCTAGTTGTACCAAAGGAAACAACAACAGTACTACTCAGATTCAAAAAACAGCTGAATCTGCTTCAGATTTGGTGCCTCAGCCTATTATTTCTGGAGATTTACCAATTGCGAGACGAGCTTCACTTACTCGGTTTTTGGAGAAAAGAAAAGATAGGCTGACTGCAAAAGCACCTTACCAATTAAGCAACCCAAATAAACAGGTAGCAGTTTCTGAAAACAAGGCGTGGTTGGAATTGGGTGCTCAATTTCCAGTGAAAACTGAGCAATTCTAGTACTACTTGCTTTTGGCTTTTATTACTTGTTATTAGGCTAAATATACTACTGCTGCTGCTGCTACTACTACTACTACTACTTAATCCTTTATTGAAAAAACTTATTAGATCTGACTACTCTGGATTCATTACTAGTAATTGATTTTTGTATTGAAACCAGAGAGATGGTTATTCAGTGATCTTTTGTAGGTATTCAATTCGTCTAAGGCTTAAGTTTTTACTTCCTATTGTACTGCAAATGGAATGTTTATCACAAAAGCAATTTCTATGTTTATGTTGTATTATACCATTTACTTTTTCTCTATGTCCTCCTAATGTATTATTCTTTTTTTATGATTTTGTTGATTGGAGTTTCAATTTTATGTACCAAAAACATATTTACACAATGATGTTATTTATAGGTAAATATTGATAAATATTTCTGTAAGAATTAATTGATAGCTTGGTAAAATGGTAATTAATCTGCTATTGCTGATAGTGTAAATTTATTTTTAGATTTGTCAGGTATATAAACTTAAATCCAGGTTGATATTGGTACTTGAAACGAACGAACCACTTTGGCGGTGGTAAAAATAGTAGGACGAGCAAAAAGAACAGAAAATAAAAAAATAGAACCAAATCGGCAATAATTTTTATTTTATTTTATGTTTTGCCTTGTCTTCTTTACTTTTCACTACCTATCTATTGTTTTCTTTTCATTTTATATTTTATATTTACTTTTTAAAGATAAGAAGCGGTAATTAATAATCAAGTAGCAAACTCTATATCGGCCAACATAGAGGTAATTGCTATAGCGCAATATTACTGAAAAAAATATTAAATCTAAAATAACATGAAAATTGTACCAAAAAGTTATCACTACTGTGAAAAACTTCTTCAATCAGAATTTTAAGTTGTTGAGTTTTTCTAAACAGAAATTTTAAGTTAATATATGAATAATTGGATTAACGGACATATTTTTATAGTTACTGAGTTCACAGGAATATGTAACTGTTGCACTGGATCCGCCCCTGCCTCCCACCTCTTCCAAACATGTTTTACCTAGTAAAATTAAAGAAAAGCGATAAAAAAAAACACAAAAGTTCCTATACAACTTTTCAGAAGCATTCATAGGACATCTCTTAAACCATTATCATTATGGTTGTTTTGACTAGAGTTAGTTAAGTGTGTAGTTTTGTAATAGAGTTATTACAAAGAAGCTTATAATATAGTTATTGTAAGAATGTGAATGATTAAGAGTTCAATTTCTAGATTGCAATAGGTTATAATCTAAAGTTTGCTCAGTTAGTGAAGTTGAAATCCTACCAGTGTAGGTCGTAATTTTTAATCTCGTACTGAGAGTTTTTTATCGTTGTGTTCTTTATTTACTGCTGTGTTATGTGAGAATTGATAAAGAACCAGGTTCTCTATATAGTTTGGTGGGACTTTAATTTACATCATAAATATTCTTATAATTATTGGGTTCACAGGAATACGTAGCTATTGCACTGGATCCAGCCCCGCCTCCTACCTCTCCCAAACATGTTTTACCTAATAAAATTAAAGTAAAGCGATAAAGAAAACACAAAAGTAATAAAAAGAGAAAATAAATACAATCAAATCTCTCTATAACAACATCTCTATATAATAATATTTCACTATAAAAGATAAGCTTTTTCGTAATCAATTTTTATGTTATGTTATAATATATATTCTCTATAACAACACTTTACTATAACATTCAAAAATATTAGATTTGACAGTAAAAAATATCTTCACCGTATCACAATTTCACTACCAACAAATGGTGATGGTGATCCGCCTAAAGAATAATAGGGCACGCGGTTTCGAAAATTAGAACGCGGAAAAGGAGTCCCATAAATAAATGCCGAAAAGCAAAGACAAATAAAAAAGGAAAATGCATAAACAAAGTTGTTTTCTGTAGTACTCCACTAGGTCCTTTTTCTTTCTTTCTCACTTTAGCAAAATAAAGCTGGTTCAAAATATTTATTATTTTATAAAAATTATAAAGCATAATTATTTTTGGTAAAGACCTATTAAAATTCATTAGTCAATATCTACATCAAAACAATGAATGTAAAGCATATGTTTTTGCATGCACTTATTTATCACTTAATCATGTTGATGCGGTTAAATTGCTTGATGTGATATAAATATTAATAGCGTCAAGGGGTTGTTTGGTAGGATGTATTAGAGAAAATAATGTATGCATTAGCTTTTGGTATTACTAATCCCTTGTTTGATACATTTTTTCAACTTGTGTATTACTAATACAAGTATTAGTTATACAATCTATTTGATATTATTCTATGTATAACTAATACATAGCAAACTATGATATTAGCAATACCAAGGCTATTAATGCATGCATTGACATGGGTAAAGATAAAATTGTCTTTAAAGTCCCTTAACGATAAAGAAGTTGGGGGCATTTTTGTAAAAAAATTAATTTTCTTAAAAATTATGCAATGCATTTTAATTTTTAATGCCCCACACTAAATAATGAATAAGAAATACCCTCTACATAACTAATGCTTACATTACTAACGTATGCATTACTAATCTCTACATTACTAATACGTCTTATTTAACACTATTCTTATACACCCTACCAAACGACCCCTAAGTGTTTAACATTATTGTTTTCCGTTTCACACTTAGAAGTCTAAGAAGGCATATCTTATCTTATTCATTCAAAGAAGAGATAAGAATAATCTAGTAAGGAATCTTTTACCATTAATGTTATCAAATGATTTTCTTAATAGTTTGTCAAAACTTAACATATAGGAAGAAGAAATTTAAAAACTTAATAAAGGATGATCATCCCATTTAAAAATTTAAGTTATTAGAAAAAATATATTTTTAATTACTTATTTATATTTTCAACACGCTCCTCATATGCGGGTCTAATTCTTTTTTTTTGGCAAGCACGTAAAAAATACTTTTTGATAATGGGTAAGATAAGACTCAAACCTACAATTTCTGCTTAGACCATACTAAAATATGTAATAACTTTATCTAAAAGGTTAAAAAACACATATTTTTATTTTATGGCATATGGTTTGGGTTTTTTTGTGGGGGTGGGGGTG